TCATGGACCGGCGTTTAAGGTGTCGCGGATAAATACAACAAAATAAAACCAGTACAGGCACCAAAAAAAGGAGATTTATTCATAACACACAGGAAAAGACCCAGGGAAACCGAGTTAACTGTAAAGATGGTAAAAACCCTGAAAACCATCAATTTCACACCCGAGCCTGAACTCTCGCGGCCTGGTACCAAACGACTCACTGACTGGCCTGGGATTGGGGACCACTCTTCTACATGACTATATGCTTTATGCATCTGAAACATCTGTGGTGTCCGAGTGAATTGGTGACATCTGGAAGGACAGGAAGCAGAGGATCTGACATCACTTCCTGTTTAAATAAACTAAGGCCATCTTATTGAATCTCTCTGAGCAACATATCAGTTCACACAGAAACGACTGCAAAGCATCAAAAAGGAACTTTAAACAGGATAAAAAGGTTAAAGGTCAAATAAAGAGAAGGTAAAGGAAGCTCGGTTAGGCGAGTCATGTCAGCTCATGTTCCACACTGACCCATGTTCATGAACTTTGGGTAATGACTGAAAGAATAAAACCACAAGTATAACTCTCTCCAGCCACCTGCGCGGGGTGCCCGCGGCTGATTTAGGACTCTCAGGAGGGATTACACTTGCCGCTGAGCCGGGAGTGGCAGGGGGTCCCCTAAGAGGAGCTGAAGGAGGCTACTAGAGAGAGAGAGAGAGAGAGAGAGGAGCCTGAGTGCCTCGGCTCCCTCGATGCCGCCATGAGCCTGAAACGGAATAAGCTGCTTTACTAAAACAGAGAGAGAGGAGGAAAGAAAGAGTGAAAAGTAGTGAAAAAAGGAGCAAAACAGCAAAACGAAAAGAAAAAAACAAGTGTAAAGAAATTAAAAAGCAAAGTATACAAAGAAAAATCAATAAAAGAAGAAAAATAGAAAAATCAAGGAAACAGGAACAAACATGCAAAAGAAAGTTTGAAAGAAGCCACAAAAAAAATTAAGAAAGAGGAAAAGCAAAATATATAAAGAAGAAAAAGATCTAAACAAAAGCAAGAAAGAATTGGGTGAAATTTTATTCTATGGCTCTATGCTGCAAAGTCTCTGCATCACTTTGCTCTGACAGCTTCTTGTCGGTGAAAAACAAACGCAGAAGCCTCGAGCTGCCTGCTTTCTGCTGACTGTCTCCAGCAGAAGCTTCAAGGATCTCCTAAAACAAGCACACAGCTGAAGGCTGGTTCAGCTGACCCTAACCGGACTCGAACGTGGACACACCGACCTCTGTGCAGGTGCAAACGCCCGTCAGAGTGATCAGACTCAGACTTGGTGTTCTGCAGGACCGGCTCCACATGCAGCCTGAAGGTCCTCATTAATACAGTAAACATGGGCCGTGAGTCTGAGAGAAAAATCTGAATTCATCAGATTTAATGTTCAGCTCTGACCAGCACGTTAAATCCTCTAATCCTCCTCTCTCTCTCTCAGTTTTAATTTGCTTTATGGAGCGAGCACAGAAACAGACAAACAGCAGAAGAAGAGAGTTCAAACTCCAGGAAACACACACCAACGATTACCACACACACATACACACAAACATCCATCTGCTCCTGCAGCAAAACAACAAGTCTGTCCCCCTCAGCTCCCATTATCCTGCTCTCAGAAATAAGCGTCCTGCACACATCTCAGCCTGCTACCAACACTTCTACACAACACTACACTGCTGCAACGCTTTTCCATCCACGAAACAAGATAAAGTCGCTTACTCGGTGTCACAGTCAATCTGCAAACTCGTAAACGTGTAGTGAGCCAGCTGGAATCACCAGGATTTCCCCACTGATTACTCAAAATGTGATCTAATGTCATCTGTAAAAGCTGAACACAGCCACTGTCACGCCGCCTGTGAGTGGACTCAACATGTTGATGCCTCAGCATCGGAGCCCGTAGTGATGACAAAATCAGGACAACAGGGCGGAGTGCTGCGTGATCATGCAGGCCGGTTTTTGTCTTTGTTGTCTCCGTTACTGTTTGTTTGCTTGTTTCACTGACATTTTGTGTCTTAAAGGCAGAAGCAGAGAGGAGGTCTACACATTAGCTGAGGCTAGAAGTCCTACATGAGCTGGATGTATATGCAGTAATGTTAACATGCATGTCCCTGTTATGTGGTGCTAACAGCAGAAAGTATCAAGGCCCAGTACAGTGATTTGAATAGTTTCCCCCATTATAACAACTCTAAGAGGTGTAATTTTTTTCTTTACCTCTCATACACCTGTGTAATTAAGCTAGGGAGCATGGCTAATCACTGTTCACATAGCTATATTGCAGCTAGCTGGAGGTGCTGCATGGAGCCTGTTCACTGCAGTTTTAATGCATTTATTGTACAAACATAGTGTCCTGCTGTGTGGTACAGTTCATCCAAAGCATTTATGCTTCATTTTTGGTTAATTAGAACTAATTAACGGTTATCTCTGCATCGTACGCGTACAGTTTGTTGACGCAGCTTGCTAATTAAGCTAACTAGTTTTAGCTAATAGCTTCACTCCACCCTGTGGTGTAAATATGGTAACTTCCTGCCCTAAAAGACCAACATGATCTCAACCAGTAACACTGAGGTTTCAAAATCCGGATTCCAGAACTAATGGTAATTCAAAGGTGGCTACGTCCATCTTTTATATACAGTATATGGGGAGTTATTTGCTTTTAGAGCTAGCCTCATGTGTTGCTCGAGGAACTGCAGTTCATGTTTCTGATGTGGAGGTTGCAGCTTGTAGCTGACTAAACACACAGTTTTTTAAAAGGAATAAAGCTCCATTAGCAGCTACAGCCTCTGTTAGAGTTTACTGAAAACTTTGATTTGTTCCTTTCAGTTTATCGACATTTCTAGGATGTGTTAATTGAACAGAGCTCTCCAGGTCATGCCTCAGCATGTCAGTTGTGTTAAGGTCAGGCTTTCTTCTTCACTCTGGTTTTTGTTTCATTGTGGGCTTCAGCTCGTGCCTAAGCTTCAGGAGGAGTCTAATCCACTTCTGAGCCGCTTGAGTTAATGTGAGAAAATCTCCTCAGATTAAATTAATCTGCTTCAACACTCATTGAGTTTTTTCCTCACATCGGATGAATGAAGTCACCGAGCTGCTCCTGAACTCATTGCTGGACTTCTGATCTCAGTTTTACATCAACACTGAAGCAGGACACTGTTTCTTTGCTTGTTTGTAATAAACGTTAATAAAGAGTCTGGGAAAAAATATCTGCAGCACGGATCTACCTCCTCTCTGATTGGTCTATTTGGTTTTAATTTATACTCTGAACAAACCAGGAACACATCAGGACATCTAACTGACATGACTTTGGTTTTCCTTCAGTTTGGTGACATTTTTGTTCATCCTCAGGATGCACAGATTTGTGTTCAGGCAGACAAACCAGTATTTGTGTCTATATGTGGACCAGCCCTGCTTACAGTGGCTCCCCGAAGGCTCATTTTGAGCCTCACACAAGGCAGGACAGCAAGAATAGCTGTCTGTGTGTGTGTGTGTGTGTGTGTGTGTGTGTGTGTGTGTGTGTGTGTGTGTGTGTGTGTGTGTGTGTCCCAAAGCGACTGCACAGGGAGCACATCCGAGGGAGGAAAAATAAGGGAAAAGAAAGAAGGAGGTCAAAATAATGGTTCTACCGCCATCACAGCTGTGGGGGCTCCGCCCACCTGCAGTACTGTAGAGAGTACTAGTAACGCCATTGGATGAGAGCATGAAGGAGAAAGTACTTTACAGAGGTGCAGTTTTCATGTACTTCTAAGTATTTCTGTGTTAGGACGGTTTCTGCTGCAACTTCATTATATTTCAGATGCAAATGTTTGTACTCCGTAAAAATTTATTTTAAAGCTTTCATAAATTTTTCTTATTTTGCACATTTTATGATATAGTTCTGTTTGAATTATTACTGTATTTATTGCAGAGTTATGGCAGCTGACTCTCAGTATTGTAGACATATATGGCAGATAACAGATTTTACCAAAGTAACAAATAATAAAACTAAAGATATTTTCTTCAGAATTATTTTTTAATTTAGTTTTGGTTAACTAAAATAACTTTTGGAGTAATTCAGGTTTTTTGCGTGTGTCACATTTTAATTTAGATATTCAAAGCGAGGCCCTATCATGATTTTGTCTTTATGTCCTTATGGCTTAAAGCACATCCAGCTCCTTTCAGGGGCTGTAATTTACAAAGCAAATATCATGTTTTATTTATTAAGACCTAAAGCTAGTGATACAGCCAATAAACTCATCAAGAATGTGTTTGCTGGGCTCGTAGATCAGGTAGGAAGTGGAGAAGTTTTCTCATAGACTTCTATTCCATTGAAACCAGGTAAGTCGCCCCCTACTCGCGAGAATGTATGTTTAAGACAGGGACTGGTTTCAAGAGAAAACAGGAGATGAACCCCGACATATATGTACAAACATGCATATACCACACACACACACACACACACACACACACACACACACACACACACACACACACACACACACACACACACACTATACCCTGGGTCTGTCCGTCAAGTCAGTGTTTTATGATCCTGAGCAGGAAAACTGGGAAAACCCTCCAACCTTTCATTAGATAATTATTAATAAATAATTACAAACCGATATGTAACATCGCGCGCAGGAGCAGCAGCGGCGGCAGCACGTGGCGCTGGGTGTGACGCGCAGCCACAACAACAACACTGCTGTCAGATCTCATCATCGCAGCGGCTTCGGTGTTAAAATCAGCCTCACTCAGGATTTTTCTGTCTCTGCGGAAAAACCTGGCACAGCTGCAGAGCACACCTCCGAGCCCGGCCCAGCCTTCCTCCCGCCGCCGCCCTCTGAACTGTGACCCGATTTGTTAAAGAGAGGCTAGGTGGACTCGCGGCACCGCCTCGTGCAGCTCGGCTGCAGCCCGCAGACATGCAGACTAAAAACAGCGATTTTTTGAATGGAGTCTGGCGGAGCGGCGGGGAGCCAGCCGGGGCCGTGTGCGCAGGCGGGTGACAGAGCTCCTACCTGCTGGCCTGACCCTTTACCTGCAGCTCCTCCGTCACAACGTCCAGGTGCCGCTCAGCTGATTGTCTCCCGCTGCGGCTCGCGCTCAGCCTCACATCAGCTGGACTCTGCGCGCCGATTGATGACGCCGACGGTCGCCTCGCGCGTGCAGCGATCCGATCAGTCATGTAGGGTCGACACTCTGTTCATCACTCTTCATCCTCCTCCTCGACACGGCGGCCACTCTCTGTGCTCAGTGAAGCTCCATCAGCAGCAGCAGCACGAGGCGCGCTCACGACGCCAGCACCATGCGGCGGGCATGCGCACGCCCTCGCCCGACTCCAGCAGGAGGTCCCTTCATGTTTCACAACGCGACGTGTCTGTGAAGGTTCTCAGTCATCCAGGTCATCGTAGTCTAAGGAGCTTGGAAAGAGAAGCCTCTGGACTTCTTTAAGTTTATGTTTCACCTCCCATCCGCGACGATAATCAGAGGAAACTGTATCTGATGTAGAGCCATCCGCACACCTACATCAGTCTGCTTACACCACGCTTTTTTCACAACTTGATTTATAAAACACGTTTCAGCCAAAAACTAAGTTTTAAAAAACGTCTTAGTGAAGGTCATAGACTGGATATAAAGGATGGATGAAGTGCCTTCCTTTTCCGTGACCAGCAGGGGGCGACTCATCTGGTTTCTCAAAGAAAGAAAAGAAAAACCTTTTAATTGTTCTTATTCATGTTACTGTGTCTGACTAATAAGACTGCACTGTTGGACAGTTCTATAATGTGTAACAGTGGTCAGCCTTAAAATAACTGCTTTGTCTCCAGCTCTGTTCTTTTCGGAGCGATGAAACGTATTTGACCAGTGCTCATCTGTCAGTGTTATACACTGCAACACTTTTTAATCAGAGTTTAGCATCAGGTCAGTTAAACTGCCAGGTATATTGATGTGGTCAGAGGGTTGTTAATTAGTTTCATCTGCTTTGGCATTAATGAAACTAACAACAGCGGAGCAACAATGACACAACCCCAAAAACAGGAATGGTTTTACCCTCTTCATCTTTTCTGTATTTTACTAGTTTAGCATTTGGCTAGGGTCAGCGTCACTACTGGTAGCATGAAGCGATACTTGGACCTTGCACAGGTAGTCCAACTCCTCCAGGATTTCACCCATTACCACAAGGTTTGCTGTGGCACAGTCTCAGGAGCATGGAGGAGATTCCAGGAGACAGACAGTTACTCTAGGAGAGTTGGACAGGGCTGTGGAAAGCCCTTAATCTATCAGGAGGACCAGTATCTGCTCCTTTGTGCAAGGAGGAACAATGAGCACTTCCAGAGCTACAAAATGACCTCCAACAGGCCACCGGTGAGAACGTTTCTCACAAAACAATCAGCAACAGACTTCATGAGGGTGGGCTGAGACCCCGGCATCCTCTAGATCCAATAGTTCACCTCTGGGACAGTGCCATCCAGACTGTCCAGAAGCTCAGAGAAGGCCTGGTCCAGATCTGGGAGGAGATCCCACACACCAACCTCTGAAGCCTCATTAGGAGCATGCCCTGATGTTGTCAGGTATGCAAAAGTGTTCCTTTAATTTGCTTCCTTTTCTCATTTGACTTTGACGTAAAAGCTGGAACGTGTTCCAAGAGACTGTATACATAAATACCGATTTCTTGTAGGCATCAGTGAAAATGATATGAACACTTTCCATCACAACCAGTGCAGTCTCTTCACATTTCCTCCTTTTACTGAGATGAATGTCTGTGTGCCAGAAGAGACTTGAAGCCAGGTACGATCACTCTGATGGAAACCCTCCCATTCCACATGATGAATGCTGGAACAGCTCCAGCTCTGACGGAGGCCGGGGCAGTAGGTCTGTGTGATCAGCTGGTGAAGAAAAATCATATGTAAGCTTGAAAACACAAAGGAAAACAAGTCATTTCACCTTTACGTGAACCACAGGGATCACGAAAAATCAACTTCACTCAGTGATAAAGTCATGAAAACCAGCTTTCTGTAACAGGCTGGATCTCTAGTTTCAAGTCAAACACTCGAGATGTGATTGAAGTGCAGACTTCCAGCTTTATTTCCAGGGGTTTAACTAAACTGCTGCATTTCCTGAACGAGGATTAAAGCCATTATTGAACACCGTCCGCCCTGTTTGTTAGAGGCTTTAAAGTAATTCAGTGACTGATGGATTTAAAATCCACTGTGATGGTCTACAGAGCCAAAATTACAAATACTATCTGAATACGTACGTACCTAAATGTGTGTTTTGATTGTTAATCATATAAATATGTTGTTGAAAAAATATAAAAACCCATCAAATCATTTTAGGTTGAACTTTACTCAGTGAGCAATATTTAAAAACATGAATATGAGCAGAAGGTGACCTGCAGAAAACGTGGAAACAGAAACTCTGGTGACATCTGGCAAACTGTGAATCAAATGTGCATCTAAATTCTCCGAGCATCTCAGTTTGACTCGGAGCAGCACATCTGAAGGGTTAATTCAGAGAATAATCCTGCCGCTGGGACGAATCCAGAAGAATAGCTCCCCACCTACCACCACCACCACCCACATGTGCAGAAACACAACGAGGCTTCAGGCTAAGCTGCTCCTGTTTCCGCTGATTTCTGCTCAGATGATGTTTAAATCTGCTGCTGCTTCCTCTCTACTGTACTCCAATTACTATTTGACTGACTTTCAGCGTCTGATGATGTGAGCAAGCGCTTTGGTGACAGTAGGAAGGAAAAACTCCCTTTCAACAGGAAGGAGCCTCCGGCTCAGGGTTAGGGAGGAGCGGCCATCTCTTGTGAGCGGTTGTGGGGAGGAAGGAAGCATCTTCTTCTTCAGGCTCTCGTCTTTAAGAGTGCATCTCTCCAAAAAATTAGAATACTGTAAAAAGTTGTGTAGTTAATACTTTAATTAAAACACATTTCATTTCATTAAAGCAGCTATACTTTAATTAAAACAGGTAAACTCACAGTAAAACATTTTAAGCCTTTTATTTTGTTTAAATTTTGATGATTATCGCGTATGGCTCAGACATCTAGTATCTTGAATTATGATATTTCCTACGATCATTGAAAAAAGGATCTCCATTATGAAATGTCAAACTTCTGATCAGTTGTGTATGCACACAGAGCATTTGGGGCTCCTTTACCACAAATCACTGCACCCGTGTGGTGATACATGGAGGTGTTCAGCTCGGCTGTAGTTTTGGGTCAGATGTTTCGCCTTCTTGAAAATACTCCACAAATTCTTTGAGGGGCTCAAGTCAGGCAGGTGAGTTGACTGCCCGCTCAAACACAGGTAGCTGTTTTGGTGCTTTACGCCCAAAAAGGAAAAGGAAATTAGCATCTTTGTTGACTTTGGACTTGATAGAACACACTGGACCGACCACCACCGGCACGATCAAGCAGACCAACCCATCAGACTGTGGAAACATTAAAGACTTCAGTCTGTGCCTCTCTATTCTAGCTCCAGATCTTGATCTCCAAATTAAGTGCAAACTTTACTTCAATGAAAAGAGGACAGTCCAGATTTTTTTCTCCTCAGGCCAGGCCAAGACACTCCTGATGTGGTCTCAGGCTCAGGAGTATCTGGAATGTGACAGGTGTGCTTCCTGTCCTAAAGACGTCTGTGTGGCGGCTCTTTATGGAACGACTTCACCCTTTGTGAAGTTCTACCGTTCTTGAATAAACTTGTCTTGACATCACTGTTTCCTGCAACACTTTTCCCAACTTTCCATCAATATGCTTCCATTCGGCACTCTGTGAACAGCCAGCCTTTTCAGCAGTGACCTTCAGTGGCTTAACCTCATTATGGAGGGCACTGATGGTCATCATCTTTCACGTTAGCAGCTTCCTCATGACTGTGCTAGAAATATTACAGTATACCTTTTTAGTTGTGATGAACAAAAAGGAAAAAAAATGTAACACTATATAATAAGGCCCACAAGTAAGGCTGTGAATGCCCCGTAATTAAACTGAATTTCAATTTAATCATGTTTACCTACAAATACTTAAAGGTAGGCACGAGTAACAAGTCAGGTAACGATGGAGCCTTTTTTCACCCCTTTCACAATCACGGTTTAAACAAAACTTTCTAAAGGTGAATCTCCTTTCCTGGTTTCCTGAGGTTAGGCAAGAATAAACCATTCCAGCAGTAAAAATGACGCAGTTATACTGTAAAAGTATTTACAGTATAATTTGTGTCTTCTTTCCCAGGGCGGGTTTAGGCACTACTTCAAAAGCAATTCAATATTTCTTCGTCCTGGTAAAACAGATGAAACAAAGTACTTTAAATAGTCATGTTGACTTTTTGTTGATTGTTTGTGTCTGTCACATTTTGTTTGTTCTTGTTCCAGATTTTGAACACCAAAAACCAATATCCATGCCGGACTTCCTCCTTTGAAGGAGGTATAATTCTCTGTATTATTACAGCTCTGCTGTTGGAGCCAGGCTTCCTTTCAATCAGCCTCTCTATGTTCTGCAAACACTTAACTGCAGACTATTTTGCATAATTTGAGTCTTTTCTGAGATACAAATTAAAAAATGATTCAAAAAGCCCCAAACTATGTTTAATGCTTGATCCAGCACTTGGATTGGTGTAGCCTGGTATGTAAGAAAACTGGGAAAACTGATGGTGACCGAGACCTTCGGCTCAGATTAGATTAACAGTTCCTACTCCTGTTATACGATCCTATTTTATTTAATAGAAAACTCCAAAGTTTACACTCTTTTTCTTTTCAAGGCCATCCAACACCCTTCGAAGGACCAACATTAGCTGCCAGACCATATGTTTGACATCAGGGACATAAAAGCTACACTGCTCAGATATGAATAAGTTACAGTAGATTACAAATCAGCTGATTCTGAAAGGGTCAGGTGGAGAAATCACTGATTTCTGTTCGAAGAGCAGGAAATGTTCTAAAAATCTTTATTGTTTCTGAGAATATTCACAAACATCTGGTTTGATTTTCAAACAGCTCGAGTTTCCTTCACTGACCAATTTGTGAATGCTGTGAACAACAGAAGAAGAAACAGAAACCACAGTAGAAGAACTTTGAATAACCTAACAGACGTTTATAAAAATGAAAACAACATTTCAACGCTACAGGGAGAAAATAATTTACAATAGAGCTGGTTTAAACACCGCCCCTCTCTGCTGCAGAGGCTCCACCCACAAACAGCACCATAAACTGTGACCTTTAAAACGACCTCAGACAGAGAGGGGGCGAGAGACATTCAGAGAGAGAGAGAGAGAGAGAGAGAGGGGGAGAGAGAGAGAGAGCTACCTACATATAACTCAAATAAATTCAAATTTTAATCCCATTTGGAGAAATGCTGTTGACTCTGTCCAACATTGTCTCCATGACAACAGCAGAAAGAAACAACAAAGGAAGAAGAGTTCTGATTGGTCAAAAAAAATGTACAAATATCCTACAAGTCTTTTGTTTTGTTTGTTTCCAGAGTCCCGCCTCCTCCTGGTTCTGGCAACCAAGCAACAGTAACCAATCACAGTCTTCAGGAGAAAGTCGACTCCTCCTATTGGTCGGTTCTGAACTTCTTTGGTCCAGCAGATTTACTAGGGACAAAACAAAGAGGTTCAGTGAGATTTAAAGAATGATTCTACTCGTTTCAGCTTTGCATGACTCACAGCTCAGAATAATCCTTCTTTATCTTAAAAAACAAAAAAAAACTTAATTTAAAAAAAGCTTAATTTAATTATTGTAATTTCTTCCCTTCTAGTCACTACAGTATAATTTCCTGCTGGGAAACTTCAACATATCCAGGATCTTTCTGTTATCCGCTCCGTCAGGTCAGGCGGCCTGCAGTCATGGTGACTACAGCCCTGTGGAGGGGCAGCATGTACTGCAGTCGAAGCGTTGAGGCTGATATTTAAAGTCTAAAATCACGATGAAAATAACTGAAGGGAGTCGGCTTCGCTCTTTTTTTTGCATAAAAATGACAGACAACTAAAATATTTTAGAACAGGAAACCGTCTGAGAAACACAAACGGAGTCTACTTGTGTAAAGTCAGTAAAATGGACTGGTACACTTTCACATGATCAAATGAATGTTGGGTTGTTCCCTTTTGTTTTTGAAATATAGAACAATAAAGTTGTGTCAAAGATGTCCTTACAGGTCTGCAGCGGGTCCTGATCCTGGTCTCTTCACCGCTGCTTTGGGGTCTTTACTGGTTTCTACAGAAGACAGAAAAACAAACATGAGCTCCATTTTTCTCTGAAAAACATCAGCACACCTGATCCTGGTCCTGGTGGTTCTCACCTTGCAGCCACCGGACCTGCGTGGCGGGACCGTAGCCCTTCTGGTTTCGAGCTGCAATGCGGAAGATGATGGCGGGTTTGGTTGTGTAATCGATGTGTGCGTTGGCGAGGCTGGAGGACTGGACCAGGCAGGACGGGTTGGGGCCACAGTAGACCCTCATGAAGGCCAGCTGGGTGGCACCAGAACCTGAACTGGAGGAGGAGGAGGAGGAAGCCTGGCTG